CCCTCAGAGATTGAGCTTGCTATCTTGGCCCACGGCCTAGATTTTAGCATTCCTTTCACTTCTATTAGTAGGGAGAATATTTTTCTGAATTTGAAGTATTGTATGCTCAACTCTCGAAAACTTCAACTGGTGTCTGAGAATAAATCCAGTGACTTTCGAGCTAAATTAAATGATTTGGCTCATTCTTATGCTAGTTCTCCTATTTCTGTCTCTGAATCGAAATGGAGAAGTGAACACCATAAGGTTATTAGATCCCTTAAGAATAACCATTCTTTGGTTATTACTAAACCGGATAAGGGATCTGGTGTTGTCCTCATGGACCGCCATGACTACATTAACAAAATGTTAAGTATATTGAATGACCCTTCCAAGTTTCAACATCTTGGTTCCATTGACACTCATGATTCTACATTGACTTCTGAAATTCGATTTCAGAAACGTCTTGTCAAATGGGTAAAAAGTGGTGTTCTTTCTTCTAAAATGGCGGAGGAATTGAGACCGTCTGGTTCTATTATTCCCCGTCTATATGGATTACCTAAGATTCATAAGGAGGGTGTCCCGTTGAGACCCATATTATCGATGATTGGGTCTTCACAGCATAAAAAGTATAAAAAGTGGCTTGCTATAATGTTGCAACCAGTATTGCAACATTACAGTTCCTTTGTATTAAAGATTCATTTTCTTTTTCCAAATTCATTCGGAATTGTGATGCCACTAATGGATTTATGTGTTCCTTTGACATCTGTAGCCTCTTCACTTGTGTTCCTTTATCGGAGCGATTGATATTTGTAGCGATATATGTTATATCGTAGCGATTTGACTCCTCGAATATACCTGAAGAAGTGTTCGTTGAACTCATGAAATTTGCCACTATGTTTGTCGATTTTAGTTTCGACAATATTATGTATCGTCAGATTGATGGGGTAGCGATGGGGTCCCCTTTTTGGGTCCTGTGTTGGCAAATATTTTTGTGGGGTTTTTATGAAGAAAGCCTTTTAAGTTCTGCCAGACCCAAGGTATACTTTCGGTATGTTGATGACACTTTCTGTGTGTTCAGCCATGAATCGGAAGTGGATCAATTTTTTTCCCTACTCAATGGTGTTCATCCTGCCCTTAAATTTACAGTAGATAAGGAGGTCAATGGTTCATTGCCCTTTTTAGATGTTCTTGTTCAAAGAACTCCTTCCTTGTTTATTACCTCTGTGTACAGGAAGTCTACTTTTACAGGACTATATACCCGTTGGGACTCCTTTTGTCCTAAACAACAAAAGATTAATTTGATTAGGACCCTGACACATAGGGCATTAATGATCTGTTCGGATGACACCTTGAAACATGAAATCAGTTGTTTAACTGAGATGTTTGTGAACAATGGCTATCCGTTGAACATTGTTCAATCGGTTATTCGAGATGAGACCGCCAGGTTCAACAAAATCAAACCTGCTTCAGTAGGTAAATGTCCGGTCTATCTTCGTTTACCGTGGTTGGGTAAGATTAGTGAATCCTTCACTAAAGCGTATTTCATGTAGTTCACGTGAGTGTTATTTTGCAGCGAACGTTCGTGGTTGTCTTTCAAACTAAGTCCATACTTTCATCTATGTGTAAAGATGTTCTACCCCCCCACCATATTAACTCTGTTATTTACTATTTCAAATGTAGTTGTGGATGCGACTACATAGGTAGAACGACACAGCGGTTGGACGTGAGAATTAAACAACACGCACTCTGCGATAATACTAAAAAAAATTTTCTTTAATGATACCATTCAGAACACATATGGGTCTTCCATTGCGGATCATTTTATAAAGAATCCAACTTGTGCGATGGATTTCAGTGTGGACTGGTTTTCCGTCTTGGCCAGTTCGCACTCACTTTTTCCATCTTAAGGTGCTGGAGTCTTTTACATCAGGTCTAGGCAGCCTTCTCTTTGCAAACAGAGAGATTGTTTGCTTGGACTTGCTGTGATGCGATTCTAGCAGCTTGTTGGTATAATTTATATATATATATATATTTTTTTTTTTTCTTTTCCTTCCCTGTCCATTCATTCATGTCACCCATGACAGACTTTTTTTTTTTTTTTCTTTTCCTCATAATCTAAATTCCCGTTAACAGTTCTGACGAGAGGGGACGAAACCGTCGACTGTTGTGTTTTTATTTTAAACTTATCATGGCCTACAATACTACATTTCTAGTTTTAATGCCTTAATATATATATATATATATATATATATATACACACACACACACACACACACAATACAACACCATCACTTGGTGGAAACAAAATGGCGATTTTTGTTGTGATTTTATTACATATTTATGTTATAATTTTCGAATACATAATTATATCTGCTCTACTCTGTACTGAGCACTCTTTTAAGAATAGTATTTGTTGGTTATTGGAATTTATTCCGTATACACCAATCCTATACTTTATATTGTTATATAGGGTTCATTATATTTACTTATGCACAAATACTAAATACTTTTGAGAAAGGTATGGGTCCTTTCAGTTATGGGTTAATTAATAAGACTTATTAATAAATCATTATTATCTCAAAAAAAAAAAAAAAAAAAAATTCTTACAACCTAAAAAAAAATGTTCTGACTTTAAAATAACCTGCAAAGGTTTGATAAGCCATAGAAAATGAATCAATCAACAATATTCCATCACAATTTGAATAACTATTCAAATTCAATTCAAGAATATTTTACTGAAACTTTTTACATTTCAGTGTAAAACAGTATAAATACACACGGTGTGTAAGAAAAGCAGCAGGTCTTAGCGTGTTGTATGAGCTATGTGTGTGACAGAGATTAGCAGGATCGTGTGATGTAATATCTGGGAAGTATATAACTGCAATCTCGGCTCTGTAGCCATTGTATATTTTTTCATGTGCTTTTATTATACAGCTCCTAAATTTTAAGCTGTCAAGCGATAAGCACAGAACAACAAACGAATCGTGTGTGTGTATAAAACAGCTCTATATCATCAGAATAGTTGACAATTCTATAGTGAATAGAATTTTATTTCTCAATTTGGATGGGAGGAGGCAGAACATTTTTTTTTCAAATCAGAGAAACCAAGATATCTGTATCTATTTGTTTATATATATATATATATATATATATATATTATTACACTTTTCAATCTTTATGAAAAGAAAAAAAAATGATGGTGACAAATTGGCAATTCTCTCCTCTTTTATGTACCTGGACTCTTCTGACGACATAATAAAAACGGAATTTTCTGTCATTTTAAACTTGACAAATAAATCACGATACTTTAAGACTTAAACTTGTCTTGGTTCCTAGATAAATGAATTGTAATTGCATTGTACTTGTAAAATATTAAGAACTTAAATATTGTAGCTACAATATTTAAGTTAAACTAGTAATAACAACAGTACTTGCTGACTATTAAGTTTGATTTGTTTTTTATGATTTAACAACCTTTTTAGATTGTAAGAATTTTTGGGAGATAATAATGATTTACTGATGCAAGTCCTACTAATTAAACCATAGCTGGTGAGAGAAAAAGTGGATTCTTATCTTTCCCAAGGGTATTTGCACATATGTGAATATAACAAACCTGACTGGAATTGGGACTTGGCTCTCTGACAGCCAATTCTGAGCCTTTACACCAACAGCACATCCAAGGTTATAGCACCTGGTATTTCCAAGTGGTTATCCATCTAGGTACTGACCAAGGTTAATGTTGCTTAACTTTGGTGATCGTACGAGGATTGGTGTTTCTACATGATATGGCTGTAAACCTGCTGACTATTAGGAAATTCAGTTAAGAATTTACAGAAATGTTTTTCAGTGTCATAAAAGATGGAATTTTCTTAGCTGATTCTGTTACTCCTACTATCTTCCAAATCAGAGACTGACCAAAATTAGATTATTTATAAATGGATTATTTTTTTTGCCATAAATCAATAATCAACCCAAACAAAATCATTTAAAGTACAAGTTAGATTACTCTCAGTTTGTTTTTTCTTTTATTGACAAAGAATTTCCTTTCTATTCTCATCAATCCAGATAAAAGTCATGGATTGGAAGTTTTGGGAGATGTTTTTGTTCAAACAATGTTTGTCAATATTTTCTGTGACCTTCTTCAGGTGTATAAACTGCATGAAAATAGTTTTTTCTTCTTCCTTTTGATCATAAAAAGCAAAAAATAACAGCAAACAAAATTTCAACATTAACATGATCGATTGTAATATAAATTCTTCAGCAAGACCTGAAAAAGGCCATAAAATGGATTGACTGAATTGTGGGACAATCCCTCTGAATGATCATAATTCTTTTCAAAATTATAAACAATATCTATCACTTGCTGATACTTATCATAATGTAATGTACAATGTATAAGTTTAATTTCTAAATATATATTTATCAAACAAAAATTCTAGGGCAGGGCTCTCTGAAAGAGGTCACTCATTTCATTACACAACACACATCCATTTTGTACAGCAATGTAAGCCAATACTTTCTTCTTTGCTATGAAACTAATAGTAAATGCTTCTTTTGTCCAATAATTTATTATAAATTACTTACATTATTTATAATTGGACTAATGTCCTCATCTTTATTATCACAACATTTCAACCATTGTGCTTGCTGACCTTCTTCAGGTGCTTGATTTAGAGGTTAAAAACAGATATGCCTAAGGATAGAGGGTAGAACAAGAGCAATCTACTGGTGTAAATTAAATAGTGTTCAAATCAAGGTCAGAGGGCACAACACCTAAAATGTTGCTATAATAACAAATATGAGAACATTAGTCCAAAGGTAAATTATGATAACTCATTCCAGGAATACAAAATAATTTTTTTTACTGTTCAAAAGATGAAATATTTACAAGAATGCTGAGAAAACAATCTTATAAACAAGATAACCTATTTATAAATAAAGTTAATTTTCACTGAAGATTACAAAAGCTACATTGTTCTGGGCAATGTTAACTTATAGATACTCAACAACAACCAACTTACTGGCTTTTTTCTTTTCATCTCCTTCAGGTTTTTTTTCCTGACTTGGACTGGAAAAATTAAAGAAAATAAAAATTAAAAAAAGAATCATTTAATATTCAAATTTTTTTTTATTAAATAATATTATTGGTAAGATTATTTTAATATAACAGTAATTCTTTAAATGTAAATGACATTGGAACTATGCATGGGGAAAAGAGCAACAACCTGATTTAATATGAAGAACAGGCAGCCATGATATTTCCAAATGAGAATCATAATGAATTGAAGAATGAAAATCATAGGGAAAACATGAATAAATGTGCCTGCAATAAGACTGGGTGTCAAAATGATGGTTTTTCGTATGATACCATTTTTTCTAACTACCTTGATAATGTTTGTTTTAAAAACAATGATTAGAATTGTTAAACATGAAAGTGTAAGTGAATTTATACATTTTCTTTGTTCTTGAGAACTGACAACAAATATAATAAACATTATTTACTAGATTGTTTATTTACACTATTTATTTATTAAATAGTTTAATTTAATAAACAAATAAATTACCAATTGATTTAAATTTTATAAAATGGTAAATAAGGAGTTCCTCATAATTGGTTCATATATTTTAATTATTTAGTAAATGTTTATAAATTTATGAATAAAAAATTGTTTTCATTTATTTCTTTATAAATTGGTAAATGATAAATATTGCATTGTATTAATTTTAATACAATTGTATTAGATTTTAAAATGGTGTAAATATAAAACATTTCTTGTAAATAAAAAATCTAATAGTGTTTCATATTTTTGTTGTAAATTCTCAAGAAATGAACACAAAAAAAATGTATAAATTCACTTTTGTCATATGTTTAGGTTTTATTCCAATTGTAATCATCGCTCTTTAAAACAAACATTGCCAAAGAGTAAAGGTAGTTAAAAAAGCGATGTCATGGGAAAAAACGTCCTTTGTCACTGTCTTATTGCAGGTATGTTTGTCCATGTTTTGCCAACAATAGAAATAAAATAAAATGCTGTAAAATTTTCATTTTTCAATAATTAAAGAAGAAGAATTGAAGAAATGTTAACATGCAAAATATTAAGATATTTAAAGTAGTGACTTTACCTAACAGTTTAATTTATTCATTTTATTTCAAAGAACTGATATTTTATTTAAAATAGTCAAAATTTAAAGGCATGATATTACCTGACAGACCATTTGATCAAATGATGAAAGTTGCATAAGCTGCCTAAAAGTAGTTGCTCATTTCCTTCAATGGATAATATATACAACACACAGGTGTTTTGTTTAGCAAAATAAACACTCCTAATGCCATGTACCAACAAAGAAAATTAACATTCTGGTTAATCCCAAATAAAAACATAGACAATAGAACTTCATTATCCTTGGCAAGTAGGTTCCAAGACTACCACCAGAAAGTGGAATTAATGAATCATAGCAAACGTGTATACACAAGGTATGTTTAAAAATTGTCATGGGAAAATAAGGGCAAAAATAGTAATTATTATTGCCTCAGGAAACAATCCTTGAACTCGTTTGGTTTCTGATCTTTTTCAATGATCTCCCCAATGTTATCAGTTCCCAAGTAGGTATTTATGCAGATGACTTAATGACTGCTCTCAAAAAGGATCTCCAATCAGTGGCTAAATGACGCAAGAAATGTCTTGTAAATTTTAATGCCTCCAAAACAAAATTGCTTTCATTTAATCATCACAGAGAACCTTTTCTGTCTGTTATTAACATGGCTGATGCTAAACTCCAGGAGAGCAGCACTTTGCACCTTCTTAGGCTTGTGTTCCACTGATATGAAGTGGAGTGTTTATATTGAATCAATTGCTAGATCTACTGCTAGGAAAATTGGTTCACCATGTCATGCCAGACAATTTCTATCATCAGAATCCATCTTGCACATTTACAAATCTACCATTTGTCTGTGTATTGAATATTGCTGCCATATCTGGTTTGATGCTTCTTCTGTATATCTTGAGATTCTTGACAAAATTCAAAGAAGGGTCTATAATATAACCAATCCTCTGCTGGCATATTGACTCCAGTCACTTTCTCATTGATGTGACATGGATTCCCTTTGTCCTTTCTACAAATATTTTCATGGCAACTGTTCTGATGAACTTTTTTCCTTAATGCCTTATATAAAGAATTCAGTTTGGAATTCCCCAAAGGTCACCCAGACTGACAGACACCTAAAGAAAGCCAGAGGGTACAATGTTATAATCATAAAGTTTCAGCCAAAGATGAGGATATTAGTCCAAATATAAATATTTTAAAAACTTAAACGAATTTAATAATTAGGAAAGAAGGCTTGGAAGATATGATACTCACAGGACAGAATGAAGGTAAGATAGAGGGGAAAACAATGCATAACATACTTAGTGAGTTTAAGTAAATGGATGGTGAAACAGGGTTTGGGAGAAATAACAAAAAAACAAAATTTATTAAGAGCTACAAGAGACAGGAAGTTGTGGAGAGCCATGATCGCCTACTTCTGTAGGAACATGGCACATAAATAAAAAGATAAGTTTATTTGACCGGGGGGGGGTGCCCCCTCCTACAAAGAAGTATATTTGATTTAAGAGAGAGTGCTTTGATCCACTTCTCAAAATCTGATTAAATGACTTTGTCAGGCCAAGAACTTTTCAGTATAACCCAAATTAAAAAGAAAAAAAAAAGCAATTAAGCAAAATTTTTAAATAGTAACAGATAAATAAGATGTTACTGTAAATCCCTTCAACTCTTCTGATGCCCTCATATCTCCTTGTAAATAATAAAAATGCAACTCACGCTTTCCTTTTCACTGCCCCCATGAGTAGTTGAGCCTGGGACTTGGATTTGGAAGCTCCAACTTGCAACCGAGGAACCTTCTTTTCTTCAGTTTTCACCTCTTTGCTTTCTCCAATTTTAGTGACAGCTGCTTCGTGAAGAAAGTTAAGGTTAAAAATTCCTTTAAAGAAATAACAATTTTTGTGTCAATATATTCATTGGTTAATTCCATATCCCAAAAGGTATGCTTTACTTTTACCCTTTTTCTTTTTTACCAATGATGTTCACCCTGTACAAGGCTAGAAAACCACTCAAGGTAGAAGGTTATGGAGTAAGAGGTACAGCTTATGTAGATATAAGTGGACAATAATAGTTAACCCTAGACTTGAACAAGTCAAGATAGTAGTGATTAGGGAAGCAACCTCTTGGGAGTTAGTTCCACAAGGCAGTGGTTCATGAGAAGAAGGTAGTTGTGTGGAACTTACATCTCACCAAGGGAATGAGGGTGGTTCTCTACAATGAATGTGACATGGCTGGTCTTAGTCATGAAGGTTAGGACTGGAGTGTAGTTCATTTGAATATTCTCCATGGAAATATAGCATTGAGAGGCTTGCGATGTCCCGTATAGAAGAGAAGGGTTGTAGGGTAAAAATAATTTATCATCTACAAGGACACAGAAATGCTTTTGGACACTATCAAGGGTGGAAAGTGGGGACTGGACAGTTCCTACCCACAGATGGCAGTAGTAATATAGAAGACATGAAAAGGAAACTACAAAACTCCTAAAGAAGGTAATGAAGGAAAGCAAGAAGAAAAATCTATATATAAACTAGAAGATAAAAATGCATGGTTGTCAGCAAAAGCACGAGCCCAAAATGCAAATTACAAATTAAGGATATTAAAATGAAACAAGTACAAAAATTTAAACAATTTGGAGAGTGTTCTAACAGAGGACAGAAATTGCAGAACCAAGATCAGAAGATGCATTGAGATGACCAGAGATACGTTCCAAAAGGTAAGCAGAGTATTAAGAGACAGAAAATCTTTGTTAGAAACAAAGAAGAGAGTACTGAACTGTTACGTGATATCTGTCCTCCTATATGGTAGTGAATGCTGGACAATCTCCTCCATGATGAAGAAGGGACATGAAGCAACAGAAGTATTCTACAGAAAGATGCTGAGGATACCATAGACTGAAGATGTGAGCAACAAGGTTTTAGAGAAAATGGAAACAAAAAAGAAATTTATACTTAACATCAGGAAGAGGCAGCTGAAATTTCTGGGGCATGTAATGAGGAAGAAGGGCTTGGAAAATCCGATACTCACAGTACAGATTGTGAGAAAGAAGGACAAAAGAAAACAGTGTGTAATATTTGATGAGCTTCAGTAAATGGATGGTAGAACAGGGTTTGGGAGAAATAGCAAAAAGACAAAATTTATTAAGAGCTACAAGTGACAGGAAGATGAGGAGGACAATGCTCGACGATGTCCTGAAGGGACACAGTACAAATAACAAACACTCCATTTTCAGCCCAATTTAACTCTTGTAAAGGTCAGAGATAGCTGGAAAAGTGAGATACTTGCTGGAACTGACCATTTTTCCAGGATCTTTAGTGATTGATTGTATATAGAATTTCATCGCAATTGATGAAAGTTCTAGGTCTGATCAGCAATGGTGGGCTCACTAGTTTGGTTTTTGAGACATTTGCATGTGACCAGCAGTCCCCCGCCACTGAGCTGTTAGAGCTAGGTCAGAGGAGAGATCAGCTGCCAAACTTTGGTCATCTGGAGTTTTGGAGGTGCACCCATATATAATTGTATCATCAGCATAAATATTTACAAGTTACTTTGAATTTAAAAAAATAAATAAAAATAATACTGTTTAGAATTGTAATTTGTTTAGAAGTGACTTGTTACTGACATGTTTTATTAAAAAAAATTGAATAAGATAAAAGATACATTTTCTAAAAATCTACTGGTATAAAACAAAAAGTGAATTTTCATTTTTTGCTAAAAGATTTCTGAAGTTAGAAGAAAAGCAACCAAAGCAATTATGCTTCATAAAAACATAAAAGGATATCTTTAATTCTTGAATGACGCTTGCTTGCTCTTTGTCCCTCTGTTTCTGCAATTTTTCTTGTTGCTTTGAAACAAAGTCCAAGAAACTGACTTCATCTTCTTCCAATCCTTTTACAGAATTTCCTGTTTGAAATAAAAACAAAAATTCCAATTTGAACAAGAGCAAAATAAAAAAAAAAGGCAATCAAAGTGGGGATAAAATATTTAAGCATTATGAAAAATGGCAGGAATTGAATTAACAAATTTTATGTGTGGTAAGTGCAACAGTTATTATTGTGCAATGTGGAACTCCAGTTAATTCCATTTCATTAATTTCATGCTGTTGCTTTTGGCAAGGGCAACTCTGAGTGTAAACTTGACAGCTATTTGGAGATTTCATGACACTATGTAATATTTCTCAGTTCTTCTGAAAAGTGTGGCTGGTTCTACACAAACTTTGACCACTATAATCAAGACATTTGCATGGGTCATCTAGCAGCTTATTTCTGTTAGGCTCTTATAAATTGGAAAACAAAAAAACTCCCCCAGATGCACAAAAGTTTACCCATGCATTATACTTGCTGCATTATTTTTAGTCATTTTTTATTTGCTGTAGTTATATTTATTTGCATGAATAGTCTAAAATTTTCATCCATGCAACTATCTTTGTTGTTTCATGCAAGAAAAAATTTGATCTTTAAAAAAAAAAAAAAAAAACTAAAACAGCTAACACAAGAGACATAAAAAGAAATGTATTTTATTAGAAATAAAAAGCAATGTAACCAATTGTTACTACTTAATAAAGACATTTTCCATTATTACGGTAACAACACAAAGTACGTTCACTTATTGATAACATAACAGATTATCTCATTAGTAAATAGAGGAGTTCAGGCTGTGTGAACCAAAAATCTCCAAAGTCAGATGGTGTTTTAGGATTAGTCATTATCTGTCATAACAGCATTAACAAAATATAGTAACTTTTTTTTCTGTTACATAATTACTCCATGTTTAAATAATGTAATTTTTTTTTTTTTTTTTAAATTGGTATAACCACATGCAAGTCAGTAAAGCCACTAAGACACAAGGGGTTATAGGGTGTGAAAGAATTAAGAACAGAAACATTAATAATGAGCTGGAAAAGGAAAGAGTAATCAGGAAGACAGTAGATAGTGACTGACATTGCATTTAATTTTTTTTTTTTTTTAAATCGGTTTCACCCCATGCAAAACTGAAAAGACACACTGGGTTACGGGATGTGGATGAATTAGGAACAGAAACAATAATAAGTGGGAAGAGAAATAAGTTATCAGGAGGAAAGTAGATAGTGATTGACATTGCATTTAAATTTTTGCAGATTAAAGTTGGCTAGAAAGAATGGAGCTGGAAGGAAGTTCTCCAAGTGAGAAGTGTGAGAAAATAAACTGTTAGCATAAAATTAATGATTACATCTAGCCAGCTCAACTGTAAATTGATGAGATCTCCATGCCAATCTAGTACTGCGCATAAATTAAAAACGTCTACATACCATAGAAAAGAACTCATCCAAACAATTACCATGAAGGTATTTATAGAAAAGACACAAAGAGACAACCTTACAATGGTGGGAAAGTGACTGAAGCTGAGCTGCCAGATCAGCACCAATAATATTGCCTTTTCTTCGGATTTTAGCAAGGTGCTCAAAGTAAATAGCAGGGGCACCAGATGATGTATGGCAGCAATATTCTAAGCATAATTTATAATTATATTTATAAAAACATGGTTCAAATTGCTGGTTACATTGTTTTTAGTATGTGAAAAAAAATGTTAGTCTGAGGTTTGTCAATTTTGTCAAAAAATATTTGTCTGAGGTTTGTCAATTTTGTATAATTCCGTGGCAACATCATGAATTCTCCCCCAGTTTAGTCCAACACCTCTTGAAAGGTTCTCATTAAAAATTGAGCACCAAATTTTTCTTGGTGTGTCTTTCTTTTTCTTTGTCCCCATTAGAATCCACCCCACAAAAGCATTGTACTTTTCTGATATGCATAGGTTGTGCCAAGTTAGCTTTATGTGTCTCTCTGTGATGGTAATCAATGAATAGTTTCTGCTTATTTCTCAGTGCTTCTTCATTTGTACTTAACAGGAAAAACTGAAAGTCAATTCTGGTCACATTTATCAGGATCGAGTGACATTGGTCATAGCAAGGTTCAAGAATAATAAGGCTTTAGCCATAGAGGAAATCTCAGAAAAATTCTCAAACTTTATACCCAGAAATAGGTTAGCTTTTTTTGAAAGGAAAAGCCTGGAATAATCTGAAAGATGAAAAAATTATAAATGACTTACGGATTCTTTGTTCTTCTTCATATTCCTCATCTTTTTTCTGTTTTTGTTCTTGAAGTCTTTCGAATAAACTGCGGGAATCTTCTTCAGGACATTCTGGAAGCAAAAATGTCAAAAAAAAAAAAAAAAACAGTAAAATTTAAAAGAATTATTTCAATTCAAATTTGTTTATGTTCAAATTAGTTGAGATAAAACTGTTACATTACTTAAGAATTATGACCAGAAGAAAGTAGTAAAGAATATCAATTTTGTTCAATCAAACATAAAATTTATAAAACAAACAAGTCTTGTCAGCCACATTTTAATGAAGAAAACTGCAATGGTAGCTTAATTTAAATATAAGAGTGGAGACTATAAGTTGTCTCCCTTAGATAACAGGGAAAGTTGTCAGTATTCAGTTTGTATAACTCCTTACTTTAGTACAGGGGTCGGCAACTCATTCGACCCCGCGGGCCGGATCGTGTTATAATGACGGGTCGCGGGCCGGACGAAGGTGGATCAGAGGAAGATAACAGCAGGCCTTTTGTCGAATTCGAAAGCCTCGTCTCTCATGTTAAAAATAGAGTCATTGGTAATCAGGCTTACAAGCCAGTCAAAATGCCTTCACGCGCCGGATCCGGCCCGCAGGTTGCCAACCCTTGCTTTAGTACTAACTACTACAATATGTGACTTTACAATGAACAAAAAATTTAAAAAAATGTTTATCTTTAATAAATGAAAGATCTGTATCATATGATACTGAAAAGTTCTTGGCTCAACTCACTTCACAAAATCTGATCAAATGAACAAACACTAGAAATTTGGGGTGAAAAGGCTTCTTGGTTGGCTTAATTCAATGGAATTAAACTCTAGCTTGGAGACTGAAAGGAGAACAATCACCCCCCCCACCAGATTGAAAAAAAATATTAAATAAATAAAAAAGTTTGAAATTCCTGTAAGGTGACTATGATAGACACCTGATGAAGGCCAGAGAGGGCAATGGCCAAAATATAACAACAACAACAACCAAGATGAAGAAACTAAGCTGAACAAATCAACATATAATAATGATAATACTTCATCCAAAAGATTCCGACAACGATCAACAATTTTAATAAATTACAGTATTCTAGAGGCACGGAGGAGTAATGGATAGTGGCTCGGATTGAGGAATTGGAGAGCTGAGTTCAAATTCCAGTCAAGTTCATTACATTCACTTATGTGATAATATCCTTGGGAAAGGTATGAATCCATCTCTTCTCCCCACACCTATGGGTAAAATTGCAGGACAGACAAGGTCCTATAGTCTAGGGTAACAACTAGTCTAGGAGAAGGAAAACTCTGAATTCAAACCAGCCTGAAGAGGATTGAATTCCATCAGGCTATCTTGCCCAAGTCACACCACTGCTGCTATGGCTGCAGTACATGTGGTACCCCTATGACCATAAAGGATTAAGGGACTTGTGATTCTTGAAAAAAAAATTTACAATGCAGTTTTGTTTTGCATATGAGTATACTTTCCAATTCTGATATTAAAAAAGTGTATCATATGTTTTATCCAATACCCAGGCAAGACTGGGTACCCCTATTAAAAAAAAAAAATTATTTCAAACATTCTTAATAAACAATTTGGATCATAAGGTGTAAATTCATCAAGGATTCACTTCAAGCAGGCTTAGAGCTATATCACATTTAAATGCAGATTTCTGAAAAATCACTGAAGTTAAGCAACACTGAGTCTGGTCAGTACCTAAATAGGTGACCACTTAAGAATACTAGGTGCAGTTAACTTGGATGTGTGGGTGGTGTAAAGGATAATGGCCTGGAATTGTTAATTGGAGAGCCGAGTTCCAATTTCTGTTGGGTTCATTATGTTCACTTACACACAATTACTCTTGGAAAGGTATGAATCCACCTCTCCCCAGCTATGGGTTAATTAGTAAGATTTGTATCACTAAATCATTATTTTTATTTTTTATAATCTAAAAATGTTTTCTAGCTTTAAAATAACTTGCAAAAGGTTGATGGGCCCTAGAAAACAAATCAATTACTTGAAGCAGAATTACTTGATATTTAAGTTAAAAACATTTTTTTAATTTTATATATCCATTTCATAGTGAATTAATCCAAAACTTTCTATAAAACAAAAGATTTTTTTATTAATTACCCAAGGGCTGATCTGGTCTTCGAACTTTCTCCCATTCTTCTTGCCGTTTCTGACGCCGTTCTACAATTTCCTTTTCAGACACAAAATTTTTCAGCGATGTCCCAGCAGAGGACTTATCTTCAGAGCTCATTTTCATGCACAAATAAATGAAGCTACACTTTAAGAGAGAGAGAGAAAGAAAAAAAAAATGAAATTATACATAGGTATAACATAATTTATCTACCATCTATATTATAAAGATCCAATTTTTGTTTGTGTTTGTTATTATAACACAGCAAAAATAACAAGTAATAATATTTTTGGTAGCAAACAAATAATGATTCAATATTTGAATGTGTTTGCTAGAAAAGTTGAAAAGAAAATAAAATAAATTACTAATTACTGCATAAAATAATGATGCTTGTGAAATGATATTTTGAAAATATATATTTGTTTAGTCCTTTTAGGCATATTTTAAATTTTGATAGAGCTTTTTAATGCATATAAGAAAAATAACATTTTTGCTTTAATTACCCATTTTCATGTTTAGCAATTTTAACAGTACTGTAAATGTGTAAGTAGAAATATTATTTTGTGTGTGTGTGTGTGTATACATATACATGAATTCTTCAATTAGTGCAGCTAATGTACATCAATAACTATTTAAAAAAAAAATCAATTTTCAATTACTATGGTTAAACTGAAGAATGTTTTAGCACACTAATCAAGTATTATGTATGCACTAATCAAATTTTGGTATATAAAAATTTTAGCACACTAATCAGAAATGCATTAATCAAGGGATACCTGTATTTACATAAATAAAGCTTGTAAACCATTAGTTTAAGTATTATTAATATTATCATACACGAGTTTGACTCAAATGTATTTTTTTTTTTTTTTATAAAACATCTAAAGACCATCTATGATGCCATGTATTATTATTATTATTATTATTAGGGCTTCTCCAAAAGTAATATCTATTGATCCATGGCATTGGGTAACAGATGGGTTTGGTTGGTTTGGTTTGTTTTACGGCATATCAACCTCAATGGGTTATTTAATATCAACAAGATTTTTAGTGCTGGTAACATTTTTTTCCTTCAAAAATGTATTGCTGGTAATAATGTATTGCTGACAATAATTTTTTTATAAAAATGTATTGCTGATATTAAAACCTATTTTTACACTTTCATGTTTTGACCTTAGTTTGGAGGAGGTCAACTATTTGCCCTTAGCTGGGACCCTAACAGGTGCTACCATCCAGGGTCAGGGTGGACATGGGAACACCAGCAATTAAGAGGTGGTTCCATGTTCCTCAAAAACTCCCAATCAGAGGCCTTGCTGTTCAACGTAGTTTATTGTCTTACTCAGGATGCGGATGTAGTTTATTGTCATACCCAGGACGGGGATGCAGATGGGAGTGGTATACTAGTAGAGGTTGGACACCAGCAATAATCTATAATTTTTTTGCCTTGTTCCAAATAGCAGCTGAGCAAAAGTCTGGCAAAATGATATTCACTATGAAAGTGTGCACAAAGCATAGGTTACATTGAATTTCACTTTGCTAGAAAAAAAATGCAGATATTCATTGACAATTAGTGAATGTTTATGCAGATCAAACAGTGGATGCAAACACAATTAGGTGTTAGGTAATACATTTCAGCAGTGGTGGCTACAGACAGCAATGTATGTGACAAACTACATTCTTAGCAACCCTTGCATAAGTGTCAAATGAAAGCATGTAGGCTTTTGATCAATGCAGATAAAAATGTGTAGCAAATTGTGGTGACTATGAAGTAAATTAATGTTTTGTAGCTGAAAACTTTCCCTATGTAATAATGTTATTGTGTTATCTGTAGTGTTGTTGGGTTAGCACCCCTGACAATAATTACTGGCAGTGCGATTTTTGAAAGGCTCAGTCTCTTTCCCCTTGACTTTGGGAGTACTTCCGCTTTCTGATAAAACACGCTACATGTAAGTACTTCAGAGACATCAACTGAAGAAGGTATCAATAACTTCAATGATAAATTTCATTTCTTTACTATTCTGAGACATGTTTGGTTAATACATTAATTGTTGTTTGTTTAAATTCTATATCTTGTGTTTTGTTTTTTTTTTATTATTTTTTTTATTTACTCAGATTAACACATGAGCTTTCCAAATATTGTTTCTGGGACAAATAATACCAGAAGTCATAAAATGATAATTCTTTCCATTCTGTAACAGTAGTTTCCATAGAAATAAATAAGGAGGCATTACTTTAAGGGCATATCTTATTACTATTATTATTATCATTACTATTCAGCTGCATATTTTGTGTGATACTATAGAGACCCACTTCAGGCACCTCAATGTGGTGTAATGGTTAGCAAGCTTGTCTTGCTAGAACAATTATGAGTGAGTAGTGAGTTTGATCCTCACTGGGTGCCCCATACTTTTGGCCTTGTGCCACATCTAAGCTATGCTTGGAAATTCACTATAGAGACCCATTTACTTTTCCAACATAAAAAGATGTGGTTTTATCTTGATCTCAAGTGTTTCTGTTTTATGACTATCGAATAGTCCTTTGAAATTTTTTAAGTGGTATCCACTTTGATTGAAGGGGAACGGAGGAGTTGATGAGGTCTTTTAGCAACCAAGCAACAACAAAACTGTACATAGAGTATATCTGGTTGCTGGTGTATATATACAGTCATGCTTGGGATTGAGGACCCAGTTCTGGGCCACCCTCGACAGGAGATGGACTTGTGTGATTCCAATGCCACCTGTTTGTATTGCCAGCCATATGTTGGGATTGATAGATGGGCAAGCAGTTGGTACAGGGGAAAGTTGTCACCTTCCTTCCCACTCAGATGAGCAGGTGAGATCCTGGATAAAACATCTACATATCTGCAAAGATTAATTTTTTCATTTCTTTTCTTCTTCCACCATATTTTCACATTTTATTACCAAAAGTAAATAAACTGTATAATTGTTCTAAAAATTACTTAATTCATGCTAATAAGGAATTAGTTTTACAAAGAAATCTAAATTTAAATGTCGTTGAGTTAGATTAATTACAGAGTTATTCCCCTTATCGATTTATTTGCAAATTATTTAAATTCTATAAATAGGAAGTGACTTATCATTGCACTTGACGACCGCTTTCACCTTTCTGTTAACCAAAAATCTTCTTATGTCATGAACTTTTATTTAATGATCGTATACTGGGGCGTGCTGGAAAGGTCTTCTACGAACCGGTATTCTAATATCGGAAAGTGTGTCGGTCTGTGAACATTGAATGGAAGAAGCACTGTGACTATATTCAACAAAAAATTCATGTTTTTTTTAGTAATGGAAATATTTTTCACACAATATATTTTCTTTGCCTTGCATGTTCAAAAACGAAGTTGTTTGCCAATTCCCAGTTTAAAAGTTAATTTTTAAATTCTACCTTCAGGTACCGCCACGGACTTTAAAAAATCCGAAAAACACATTTTAAATAATTTAATTTTAATAAATGTCTTCTTTGAAAGATAAGCTAATCTGCACGAAAAGAAAAAATTAATTTCTGTATGTAAATTATTTAGGTATTTTTAAAACATTGGTACGTTCACAAGTCACTCATCGAACCGCCATTATAGACGAAAAAAAATGTAAACAACAAATTTAAAAATCTCTTAATGTGTTTTCAAGTAAATTGGTAATTTTAAGGATTAATTAAATAATTAACAGGATTTTGTAAAAAAAAGTAATGCTTACTTTTTGCAGTTGCTTAAGATAATGAAAAATTGAAAATAAATAACGTTTAAGTTTATTTACGCAAAGTAGCCAGATGCCTTCCGTTAACAAGCACTAATTTTCTAATTAATTTCATCCCAGATTTCAAAAGCGCGCGAAAAATTAAAAAATACTGAGCCTCGGCAGTGGAATAATAAAAAATTGATATTTTTATATTGAAAACTAAATTATCTCTAAACTACGTAACAGTAATGAGTAAAATGAAAAAAATAAAGTCATTTCAAAAAAGGTTCACACTCAAAGTAAAAAATGACATCAACAAATCATTAAATTTTACTGATTTTTCAATTCTTCAAATAGTTTTCTTTTAAAAAAAAAAAAAAAATTCTTGTTACGAACAACAATGGGATTCATTTCAAAATTGCACTCAAATGTTATAAATTTTAAAAAAATGTAAATATTCACTATTTAGTGTTTTAAGTAAAGTTCCAAGCGAATTTTCAGTATGTTCAAAAACATGTTGGTGTTACATTTTTTTTTTCTGAAAGAACATCTTTTTGTTCATAAACTATTAAAAAAAAATTCTCGAACCGCCCACCCTCTTCAAATTCAAAAGTACACACGAAAAAGATGCGTGAAATTGACTTCCCACCCCCCACCCAAAATATATTGCCACAAGGACAAGGTTTTCTAATAAAATGACCTGTTCAGTGTATACAATTCATTCATGCATTAATGATTAATGAATGACTAAATACTAAAAATTTTGTTAAAATGTAATAATTCTCTAATTTTAGAGGTTTTTTTTTTTTAAGTTGGGTAGCGATATTTTGTTTTAATTTCGGGGAAAAAAAAAAATAACGCATCCATGTTTTTGGTGATGCCTAAAAATGGTAATGCTTAGCTAATTTAACTATTTTTTTTTTTTTTTTTTATCAATTTTGAGAAGTAATGAATGCGAACCTTCATTCTCTTGCAAAATGTTTGCATATTCCGCGACAAAAATAAAAAAAATAATAATAAAAATACAGAAAAACGGATTTGTACAACAAAGTGCACATTTTGCTGTGTAGCTTCTTGCATAATAATTCTCATTCGCGAATTATTCCGAGTTTTTTTTTTTTTAAATGTCAATTATTTTTTAGAGAAGAAAAAGATAACGAGTTTTTTTTTATTGTAATTAGCAAAAAAAAAGAGCTAAAAAACTTTAAAAAAAAAAAAGTAAAAAAAAACTAAAGACGAAATATAAACATCAAATCGGGTCAAATTTAAAATTAAACAAATTGTTTTTTTTTTGTTTTTGTTTTTAAATTAATATTAAAATTTTATTTATCTTTATTTAATTTAATAATGACTTTGTCCCGATGGCTTGTATTTCGTAAGTTAAAAAAACTCCTAGGTAACCATTTTTACAAATAGAAACTTAATCAACGAATTACCTTTAAATTACTTATTTACCGGCACAGACGATAAATTACCAAACTGACTAATTATTGGTGCAAGTTAGATTTAATGGATCTAATTGTATTGTATAATTTTGGGTTAATTTTGATGATTTATTTTAACTTTAACAATTTATTTTTAAGTACTGTTTGATCGCGTTGAAATCAAGGTTTACAAATGTTTCTCTTTAAAATTTTAAGCATTTCAATTAAAGCTGAAACACTTTTAGAACAAATGAAATTTATAAACTTACACGTAAAATAATTAAATCTGAATAAAGTATGAATTAAAACATACCTGAATTAATTTTACTATTTTTCTCAACAGATTAAGACACGAAGCTGCTTTGAAGAACTCTCCATTTAATTGAGGTAATAAAATCATACAAAGCCAAAGTTTCCCGTCTTAATTTTTTGTCCAGATATGTCAAAGTTATTTTGGTAATTTGTAGTTAATGTGCATGAATGAGTATAATGCTTACAAATAAGTATTCGGAAAATGGTAAAAAATTAATAAATTGGTTTATTGTTTTTAAATATATCATAAGCATATGTGTTTTGAAAAGAAAAATTATAACTCAAACTCCAATTTCAGTTGTTTTCCATTTTCCCCCCGACGAGGTTTCATTTAGGAACGTTTTATTTAAAGAGAAAGAAAGAAATTAATTCACTGTCAGTTGACTGAAAAAAAAATGATTTATTTCATAGAAAACATATATTAAAACATTGTTGCATTTTACCACAGAAGTCAGTGTTCAGTATTTAATTTCACTTTGAAAATAGTCTTTTGAATTATTTTCTATGCAAGCAAAATAAAAAAAATGAAACAACAGACTTCTTATCACAATTTCTACCACTAACAATTTAGCCTTGTGCCATACTAAGATTAGTAGAATTTAATTTGAGAACCACTATAATGTTTTACAAGTTCACGTTCTAGCCTCTTTTCTGATCTTTGCCTAAACTTTCACCCCTGCTTTCAAATCCGGCCGCCGAAAGCTTAATAACGGTTCACTGTCACCGGTGGCGATGCCCATTTTGCTCTTTACAGAGGAGACCTCCCCCATTTTTCCGTAGTCCGCGAAGAAAACCCTAAATGGTCCTTGGTGATGTACATGAGCAGCCATGCAAGGTAATCTCGGTTTTCCGTGTTCCCATATATTCGATTTGAAACCTCGCCGATTTGAGGGTGAGGATATCTCCAGCCAACGAATTTGCTGCTTCCTCCGTCGCCAACACTTTGTCTCGCATGTTGTTGGATCTGCGGTTCAACATTTTGGCCCAATATTAAGGTTTCTCAGGGACTCCTCCAATTTTCACGTTTGACGTCTGTCGTTAGCAGAGAGATGATCCTCATACTGAACGGCCCCACAACCGAGGGTACTGCTATCAGTGCATTGCTTGAAATGAACTTCTCTTACTCCTCCCTGAGTCTGTTGTAATACTCCAGCCTATTCTTCTTGAATTTGTCTGCCGCCCATGCCAATGGACTTGCTGGTGTGGGCATTTGATCCTTTTGCTGAGGAGAGTCTGCCATAACGGCGTGGGTTCCCCTTCAGCACAAGTAACAAAAACAAAAAAAGAAGCTCAGTAGACACAAACAATCAAAGCATGACAAAGAACATTAGATAAACTTGACAATTTACTGTTTAATTTTCCTGGGTAAACTTAACGACTTGTAGTAACCAACTGGATATAGATTCAGAATAAGCAAAATAGAAACAAGTCAGTCGCAGGTGTTGCCATAAATGTATCTCGGATATGCTAATATTGTGTGTCCTCTCCTACCTGTCGTCTAATGAAAAAAATTGTTCCGTTGATAAAAGTGTTTGGTGTTCTCGGATTGAGGAAGTAGTTTTATTTTTCTACCTCGATTCGTGATTTTTGACATTTCTTTTGTCCCTGGATATTCGGGTTTGGACTTGTGATTTGTTTATTTCGTTGGGTAAGTGATCTGTCATATCAATTTTTTAACCTATTTTCTGACAATATATAGGCGTATTATATTTAAGGATACTAAATAACTCTGTTGTATAAAATCGAGCACTCTTTTATTAACACCAACACTATATATATATATATATTAAGAAATGGACATTCAGGCCAGTAAATGTTATTTAATACTGTTTATTATAAACAGAGCATTTACTTAAATACTTGTATCTATAAAAAGAATGTTAACCATAAAAATGTCTTTCATATATATATATATATATAATTCATGGCAATCATAATGCCCCACCATCTGAGTACAGACGTTAGGTTTAAGGCTCCAAAATTTCAACACTATATTGTCCAAGTACAGTAAAGCACTAGTTAAAATATATCAGCAGTTGTGAGTTCAATCAGTACTATCTGACCCAGGTCTGGTAGTACTGAAAAGTCACATATTCTGGTTCAATGGAAGAAATGGACGAGTAAAAAAGTGGAATAAGACTGATAAGGAAATTATACGAAATATACCCTAAGCAAGGAAAGCAGAATGAAAACAAAATATCTCTGTGGATTGAATAAAGTGTTTACTTTGAAATTCCTAGATTACTAAAACTCCTGGGTTCTGTTCTTTTCTGAAAAGCGTGTCGATGAGTTCTACTTGGCTATTTTCTTTTCTATATCTTGACGGAATTGTTTAGGGGTAGTGCCAGATTATCCTATAAGCTGCAGCCTAGGGCCCCTCAAACGTGAGTATAATGCTTGTTATAAAAAATCTTCTTTTTTTAATTATTTATTACTATGGTTGTTTTGAAATATGTTAATTTGGTTTGCAATAAATAGTAAAATAGTTGTCTTAAAGAATATTTTTATTGACAAACAAAAGATAGCTATTCTAGTTTATCTAAAGAATTTTCAATAAGTTTACTTCAAGCTATGTAAATGTTACTAAAATATATCACAAGTAAAAAATATTCAAGACGGGTGCAAGAAAAGCAAGAGGGTAGCTCCGTCTGAGGTGGAGCCCATAATTTTATTAGCTTAGGGGTCCCAAAATGTCATAATCCAGCCCTGTTTAGAGGCTGTGAGTTTGTGGATGTTATGGCTATTAGTGCTGGGTTGATTCTTTCACCTAAACATCCAAAAACTTGTTAAATGCCTTCGTCGCTGAAATAAATTGACAAAGAAAATACGGAAGGATACAGAGACACTAGAGGGACAGTTTAGGACACTGATTTTATTTCCTCCTTCTGGATTCCAACGAGCTCTTGTTGGGGAATTTCTTCCCGAACAGTTGGCGCGTGTTCACCAGTCAAAGGTCCAACCGAGAAAGAGATAGATTCTTCTAGTTTATCTTTGGCGCCAGGAAATCTCTCTTTTTTTGCACATGCGTAAATTGTCTTTCCTGTCAGAGGACTCCTGGGAGATTTTAATGTTTATTTTATTTTGTATTTTTATTTAATTCCCACAAGTTGGAGAATGGAAAAGGGTTAAAGTATTTTTGTATAGCCATTTTTTGAATCTGTGGATCTGTATTTTATTTTTTTAAATCAATTTGTTTTGTTGTTATATTCTTTGTTTGCTTCATCATCATAGCTTTCTGTTTCTTTATTATCAGTGAATTTTCATTTAAGTTTTTGTAACCACCAGACTTGATTTTTGAAATTGGATGTTCTTGCTAACAAACAGCGATGCACATTATTTACATTATTCGGACTATTGTCCTCATCTTTGTCGCCATATTTATTACAACGTTTCGGTCGTTGTACGCTCCGACCTTCTTCCGGTGGTTGGAATGTCGAACATTATTTCGCTCACTGGGGTAGACCGTTCTAGTTCCACGTGCCATGTTTAATGGATGTCAGTTATCAGTTATCTCCTGTTAATTTCCCTCTGAAAGTTCTCCACTGCCTTAACCGGGTATTGAACTCACACTCTTTGGGTCCTGTCACTGGATCTAACTAACGCCTTTATCCACTGTGTCATGTGTCCTTGAAGAAACAGCGATGCATTCTGAGCGATTTCCTCTCCTTTATCCCAAAACTTCAGCCCCCCCCCCCGGCTTTCATTTCTGAGATTGGAGGTTCTTACTATTATACATTGATTCATATAAACCAGTTTCTCATCTTTGTTGTCTTTATCACAGATTTTCACTTATTTTACCTTCTAGTCTACAATTCTGAGATTAGATTTTCTTACTATCATAAATTGATTCGTACAAAGTGGTTTCCTGGTCTTTGTAGTCTTTATCAAAGTATTTCAGTTGTTGTGCCCTCCAACTTTCATTTCTGAAATTAGATGTTCTTACTATTATACAGTGATTAATTTAGACCAGTCTCCTCATTGTTAGTGTTGTAATGGAATGTCCCACACTCCCTATCGCGGACTGACTATATCAGTAGATATATATAGTGAGAAAAGGATGTACCTGGGAATTTGCTTCGGGAATTACTAGCCGGCTAACCGATTACCTGTCTTTCAGTAGTGTATTCTCTTTTACAATAAACCGCTCTTTCATCTTCGTGCGTGCTGCTGTTCCTTCATTCGAGTACCACCTTTGTCTGTTTGTATCCTCTTTAAGGATACAACAGTTGTCTTTATTATAGTTTATCAGTTGTTGTGTAGTGATAACGAAATAAAATAATAACAATAAGAGTAAAATTTCACCATATTTAAAAATAAACAAGTAATAAAAACCACCAGATAAACAAAGCCATAGTTCGACCAACCAATAAGAAAGCTTTCAAAATCAGGATATGAGAAAAGAAATAAGCAGATAAATAAGCAAGGTGACAAAAAATTCACCGTTTCTAAAATAGTTTGACCAAGAAAACAAAGCTTTCACAATCTGGACATAGGTAGTGAGCCAATGAAAAGCAGAGCACCCTTTTTGAACTGGATCTATAGACATGTATATAAACAGATGAAAAATCAACCAAGATCAGAATTGATAAATTAATTTAAGAAGCCCAGCGATGCTTGTGAATTTGCAATCCTTCTCAAGTTGTATCGATTGACGTAAATGAAAAATTTGTTGTTTTATTATAATTGTTTTATGAGCCTAACAGAATTGTAGTTAGAAGTTGTTATCTTGCCTGATTGTGTGGCACAGAAAGGAAAATTGTGTAATCATGTTTTGTAAATTTTATGTTCTGCTTTATTATTATCTTTTATGACAACCTTTCATAATACCCAGGATAAGAGACTGGACATTCTCTCTTCTCCTCTCCTAATAAAATCCTTTCAGTCGTCCACTTTTTGTTCTGAGTTGTGTCTGCAATAATATAATATAAAACTATTCTACACAGGAGTGCCAAATAAGGATTGAAATCATTACACAAATGATCTGTATGCTAACCACTACTCATAAGTAAGGGTTCAATAAACATACATTTGTATATGGTAACTTTTGTAATTATCGATATGTAAGTGTGTTGGGGAAAGATTCGGTTAGTCATTGTTTGTTGAATAAAAAATGAGAGAAAGGGTTGCTGCGTGTTCAAATAAAATTGTGATATTTATTTAATGTAAAATACACATTTCTTAAATGCAACTTCTATCATGAAATAAAAGTTTGTATTCAGAAAGATCTTTCCTCTGACTGAAAAGGAAATGAATATAAATAGTCTTTCAGTGAGGAAGAAAGAAAATGGAGTTCGGAGACAAAATCAAAGTGAGTCTGCTGTTGCTTTGGTGAGAAACAAGGGACAACGAGCTTGACTCATTTCTCTTTATTGCTGTCAGCCTTTCTGCTGAGCTGAATGGATGTCTAGTTTATAGGGCTTCATGTAGGCCCCAGAAGCCTGTTTATTTATTGGCAGGAGCTGGTTTTATTGCCTATTTTTTATTAATTTGAAATAAGTATGAAACCGGGAGGTTGTGCGGAGCCTCTGTGTGGTGTATTTATTTTTGTCATTTGATTTGATACAGTTAGTTTAACTTCCGTTTACAAGTGTATTCTCTGAGAAAATTTAAAAAATGTTTTACAGATTGCCTCATTGATAATATAAACAAAGTTTAAAAATATCTCAGCAAATAGATGCAATTATTTAATTGTATCAAAGCCAGAAATTAATTTAAATCATTAGCCAAAACTTGACACTATCCTGCATTTCGAAGAATAATTTGAAGATTAAAGAAAATTGGTCTTGGAGTTTAAAATATTGGTAAAAAAAGACAATGTGAAAATGTACAGTTTAAAAAGGAGATATTTGTTCTCAACGACTTAAAAAAAAAAAAAAAAAAGAGGTAAAAATGAAGTTGCATAATCTAAAAATGAATAATAAATTTTTAAAAAATGTTAAAGATAAAATATGAAAAATATATAGTTTATATGCTGTTCGTTTGACGTCCTATATAGCCTGTTCAGCAGTTCAATACAATATAAGATTTAACGTCGACGGCCGTCATGTTTCCAACGTTTAAACCATACACAAGTATTTTCTGTCAAAGTGGTGAACAGATTTGCGAGTAAATTAACTCTTTTGCCATGTCAGACGAGAATTGTACCAATAACAACGATGGCGATAACAGCAAGAAGGCTGTGATTTCTTCTTCGTTTCCATCTTCTCCCCTTCACGACAGCAGGTTAGATGAAAACGGCAAAAATAAAAGCAAAATTTATTGCACGCGTTGCCCGAGTCTTATTCTTACCCCGGGAAATGGAGGATACGTTCGGAAAAAGGTTACTTATTTATTTATGATTTATTTAATTATGCTAAAAGTTGTTTATTTTATTATTAACATTTAAAATGACTAATTTTTTTTTTTTATCCACTTGATTTTAATATTATTCATAATTTATTTGTGCTAGTGATTTTTCCCCCTAAACAATAGGAAAAAACTGTACACTACACATCATCCAGGGCTTAAGATTTTTTTTTTTTTTTTTTTAAACCAGTTTCGAATGTTTTCCTTTCTGCTTTCAAATTCCAGAATTAATATTTAACAACTTCAAAATAATCAAGATTAACCGATAAATTAAAAAAAAGAAACCCTGCTTAAAATATTTAATTTTGTAAAAGAAAAAATTATATTCATCTTGAACAATAACAAATTTTACGTTCTTGTCGAAATTAAATTTGACTGAAAAAAAAAAGAACACGCTTAAAGATAAATTTGTTTTGTTTTAAGAATGTTTGATTGAACAGATTCATACAGAAATGTCATTTTTTATAGGGAATTAAGTTTCTGTAAGTTTGAAAAAATGGGTGTTTTATATAATTTTTGTTTTTTAAATTTGTCTGAATTATTTCATTTTTAATTTTGTAAATTAGTTTTGTAGGGAATTTGAATACCCATCTCGCCGTAAATACTGGACAGATAAATTAAAAAAGCGACAAAAGACCGACTTTTAGTTTTATTGCTTTAAAAAAAATGGTACAATTGATTAAACTTTTTGGCGCTGCATTTAAATATCAATGGTATTTACAGAATTTTTAAAACCAGGAAATAAATACCCCCCCAAAAAAGTTATATGTGATGAATTGAATAACTAAGTAATTTGCTTTTCACTTTAAAATATTAAAAAATCTTATTTACCATGATAAAGTTAAGTATGCTATACAATATACATTTACAAATCTTAATTAAGTCCGCTTTCAAAGGCTTTTTTTATTTCATTTTTTTTTTTTACTCACTTTAAAAATAAATAAAAGACACGCCTCCTTTTCCCTTTAGGTCATGAATCGTTGAAAGAAATTTGTCAAATGCAAATCTGCATTAGAAATTTATTTCAGTATTATTGTGGCTTAACAATCATTTTCAGGGTCAATAAGGCTAGCTAGGAATGCTGTCAATTTTTTTTTTTTTTTTTTTTTTTTTATGAAGAAAAGAAACACTTAATTTTTCGTACAAGCCACATTTTCTGCAGATTTATCAGAGAACGCGTAAAAAGTCTTAAAGAAGCGTGCTTTTACATTTACAATAAAGAAAAAAGAACTTTTCAGTTTAAAAAAAAAAAAATGATTGTAATGAGAGTACACATACCCCCCCAAAAAAAAAATTAAACATTGATCATGACAACGATTTAGTAGTGCATTTACTGTGTAGCTTCTGTGCACCTTGTTTAGCGTTTAGGCATTTTAGACCAAAAAAAAAAAAAAAACCGTACTCCTCTGCTTGGCATGGCCGGTGCAAGTGTCTAGTGCTCCCCGCCCCCCAAATCTATGATACGGAGCTCTCGACTCTACTACATCTTAATTTTCATAAGGTAGTATTCATATATAAATTATAACATAATTATGTATAATAATGGATCCTATGCAATATAGGTGAACAATTCAACAAGAAAAATTGAAAGTAAAAGTAAAACTAAAGACAGACATATCATTTCATCTTAAAAATCAACAATATTTTGCAGCAATTTTTAAAATCAACTTCAGATTTTTCTTGTTAAAAGTTGAATAATTAACACACATTCAGCATTACCATTATGGACAAAAAAAAACTAGTGAAATTTTTTTTTTTTTTTTAGACTTAGCATGAGCAAAAAAAACAAATTCACGGATTTTGGTGGGGTGCAGAATGACTTCAAAATCCGTGGAAACTTTTCATCCTATAATAATGGTCAGTTGTTGTTAGTTTAAACCTTAATTTGTAACATGTAGATAGAAAAAAAAAAAAATGTTGATATAACGAGGGTCAGTAAGCACTGCATGAGCCCCCAATTGAGCTTGTCTCCCTCTTGGTTGTGGGTATTATGCACCGTCCCTGCTGCTTAGAATTACTGTGTGCTTCATAAAAAAGTTTATTTTTATACTTTATTATCCATACCTAGAAAAGCCTGTCTCTTTGACAGTTACTAAGCCAATTCTTTCTTTAACCCATCAATTCCCACTGTCTCACCTTTGGGATGAGTTAAGTAGAAAAAGCAAGGTATATAATTAATACAGGATTTTTATTTTATTCTAATTAATACTAGACTTTCTTCTGTGTCCTGTCCTTCAGGATGTAGGTGATCATGACGTGTCACAATATCGTAGTCTTTGTAGATCTTAGTTATAAAAAAAAAAAAGCTTGTCTTTTTACCATGATTCCAGTTCCCGTTCTACCATACACAATCTTGTTTAGATAGGTTACTCAATGTCTCCCTCTGTTTTTCTTGCCTTCAGTATGTCTTCAGAGTGTCAAATTCTCCAACCCCTCTTTCCTCATTATATACCCTAAAAATTTCAACACTTTCTGATTTGAAGTATGTGTCCTTTTTGTTTTCATTTTCCTTAAAAATTCCTTGTCATTCACACATGCACAGAAACGGCATTTTTGTCTCCTGTTCATCTGTGAGGAGATTGTCCAGCATTCACTGCCATATAAGACTAATCATTTGTAATTTTGTATTGTACTTAATTTGATCAGTCAGCATCAATGGATTAATAAATGTTTAGGTTAGAAAAAGCATGTTTTTTTTATTTAATTTATTGCTATTTACTTTATATGGAAACAATTTATCCACATTGTTTTGTGATCAAATAAAAATTAAAAGAAAATTTAATTTTTGTTGTTTGAAATATTTATATATATAAACAGTATTTGGAAAAATATAAGTGACTTATTTAAATAAATTAATAAAAAAAAGTAAAAAAATTTACCATGTTGTTCAAGCAGCATAATGCTGACATATGAGATATGCCTATTTACCTCCATGTCAAGTGTTTAATTCATTTGAATTTTTTTTTTTTTTTATCATTTCACCCCAAGCAAGGCAATAAAGCTACTAAGATACAAGGGGTTACTCAGTGTTTGAGGATATGAGATAAAAAAAAAAACACTATTAAGGAGAGAGAACAATAAAAGAATTAAAAAGACAGAAGATAACAATTGATATTGCATTTAAATTTTGAAAATCAAAGTTGGTTGAGAAGCAAGAAACCAGATTTCCACAGTGAGAAATGTGATAGAAGAAACTGTTAGCATAGGACTTAAAATTTTATTGAGCCATTTCAATTGTAAAATTATGAAACCTTGCTACTAATTTAGTACTGCACATAAATTCATAAAGTCTAGGTACCATGAAAGTATTTATAGAAAAGTTACAAGGTATCTGTTATGGCAGTGAGACAATTTGTTGCCATACATTTTTTGTTTAATCAATTCACTCCAAGCAACACAATAATGCCGCTAAAACACCTTATGTAAAACATTTGTAATTGTTAATTAGATTATTAGTAAGGAAAAAAAGAATGAAAAATGCTTATATATGATTGGGTATTGAAAATTCTCAGTCAAATTTGGTTTCCTCCCAAATAATCAAACATCAGAAATTTAAGAGAAAAACTTTTTGATGGGGCTGAGAACTTTTCAGCACCTACTTGGACAAACCTTCTAAAAAAAAAATCTAAAAACATTCGAAAATTTATGCAGTGTCGGGGGTAGAAATTAACTGTTTTGCAAATTTGTGTGTTTGAATCTTACTAGATGGTTCAGTTTTGTCTTTATGCTAACCTAGGTAAAATTTAATACTCGTAGAGATTAACCATAAAATTTATTTTACAAATTTTGGTTTGTTTTAATAATGGATGCTACTTTGTGACCTTGTGCCAAATTAATCTGGACATAAGTTAAATTATATTTAAATATAAACATTGAGAAATTGTCATCATGAACTAACAAACCTGATTTTCTCACTCTTTAAATTAAGGAAAATCTTACTTGAAATGTAAGTCAGTCTTACTCTGTTGTTTTGAATAGGATACCACTGTTAAAAAAATGATTTTTTTTTTTTAAATTAGACAAAGGAAAGGCAGTGTGAAACTTCAAAATTCTTAGGACTGATGAACAATTCTTTGTGTACACTTGTCTTTGAAGATGCCTCCAGAATCCAGAAATCTTAAAATAATTGCTTTCAAGTTTTACAAAGTCACTCTTGTAATGAGTACTAATGATTACTCTTTCTTAAGACTAAAAGCTCCTTTCCACCACCTTAAACTAACGACAGTAATGAAAAACTATTTTTGCCTTTTTTGTTTTTCATTTTACTTTCTTGTATCATCATAAGTAAGTTAATCTGATCTCCACTTGGTGTAGACATTAGCTTGCTTCCTTTTCTGCTTAGTGTCAAAATGTTTGTGTTCAAATGAAAGGTGTTAATTAGGCAGGTGGGCAGTTGAATACCTATTCCTTGTGGACTTTGCATTTAGTTTGCTAAAAGTGGATTAATAGATTAGGCAAACCTATTAATCTGTCTGTCTGGAGGGAACTTGTGACCTTGCTTAATCTTTCAAAAAGTTCATTATGAACAAATATCTTCATTACATGTGCACAAAAGAATTGTTTTTATTTATAAAGAAATACTATGGTAGATGTAGAAACTAAATATTTTATGTAAAACCCAAAATAATTTACTTATTTACAATCAAGTATAACTTTAATCTCTGAAGTCCTATCATTGTAATTCAATTACTTCTAAATGTTTGATATTTTTAACCTTCAGTTTAAATGGGGTTATTTTAATTATTATGTATTATTACAAAAGAGATTCTAGCATTACATTTTATCAATGCCAACAATGCATCAGATATATATATGCCAAATTGGGAAAAAGTTTTTGTGACGCGTTTTATCCGCTAAGATTTCATCGGACTGATATCCAATTTATTTTTCTAAATACATATATTTAAAAAATATATATAATTATACAAATATTTATTTATATATATATATATATGAGACCTCTTATGTAGCGATTTGGAATCATATTTTTAAATAAATAATTATATTTATGCTCTACTTTTGTATTGAGCACTATTTTTTAAAAATAATAACTAAAATACTAAGGAACTTTGGATTATTTACCTAACCAGTTCCTTCCTATTTTCTATATATTTTCACACACATATATATATATATATATATATATAGATACACACACTCATAATAGCCTCATTCATATGAAAAAAGGCTAAAAATAATGGAAATGTTAATAATAAAAAAGAAAAAGCAGGCACTCAATAATACCAACTATGAACATAGCCACAATGTGCTGACTATGTTTGGAAAATAAAAACATTCCCATCGCTATATTAATACATTTTTATAATGCTGTACCTTGTACTTTACAACCCATGACCATTCCCAGATAGTTATAAGAATAGTGGCATACTCCCTCTTAAAAAAAAAAAAAAAAAAAATACTGAAATGTCTTAAACAGATCATTAGGTCATGAAACATGATTTAACTAAGAAACAATCTAAGATGTCTTCCTCCAATCTCTTCCTGTGTTGTACTCTTTTTGGCTCTTTCTTTCTGTTTACTGTGTTATTCCCTCTTTCTGTTTCCCTCTTGAACATTCAACACAATCTGGATTCTCTCAGTCTATAACAAATTCACAAGGATAATATTTAAAAAAAATTTAATTTTTAAAGGTCAGTTGTAGTTCAGGGATGAATTTGTCCTCAACAGATCATTATGAAAAATGATTTAACTTCTCACTATAAACAATTGCCTTTATCTAAGCTGACATTCCATCTCCAATCCCTCTCTGTGTCACACTCTTTTTGTCTTTCTATGTACCTCTTTCTGTTATACACTCTATATCCTCCTCTCTTTCTGTTTCTGAGTCCTAAGTATGATGATGTTGCAGCAAGGCCTCTGGGTAGGAGATTGGAGGTATTGAGGAGCATTGAACCACCTCTGAATTTCTGTTCCTAGGTCTACCCTAATATGGAGTGATAACATCTGTTAGGGTCTCCACTATAGGCAAATAGTGAACCCCCAAACAAACAAAAAAAAATATGAAAGTATGAAAATACATTTTTTATATAACAAAAAAAAAATTACCAATAATACCTATTTATAGTAAAATTTCTAGCAATACATATTTAGAGCAAAATGACCAGTAATACATTTTATCATTAGTTGAAGGCATACAATTGCGTTCAAAATATATTTAGTTGAAACCATAAAATTATCTCAAATATTTAGCTTTTGGTATTAAATAACCCATAGAGGTTGATATGTTGCTAAACAAAATCAAACCACCAACATGAAAGAACTTTTTCATGGCATTAATCCATATATTATCCTATAATTTCTTAAAGAAATCAAACTGTATTCCAAAATATAACTTTGACAAAACTACAGCAGAAAACACACAGATCACTGCCTCTGTTCACACAAACATGTATATGCACAAAAGCTGAGTATCATCTACCATGTATTCAATTGTGAAAGCAGAATAACATATTTTTATTACTTCAAAGCTCCCCAAAAAATTAAATTTCAGCATTAGATGACCCATAAGGAGTTATGCCATTAAACAAATCAAATCAATCAAGCCATGTTTATTTTTTTAAAAAGCGATGATATACCGTTGTTTTTTTAATTTTTTTGCAGGCATGAAGGAAATTACAAATACAAACTGTTAATGTAATACTGTTAATGTAATACTGTTAATGGAATACTGTTAATGTAATACTGTTAATGGAATACTGTTAATGGAATACTGTTAATGGAATACTGTAACAGTATATATTAAAGTATTGTATAACTTTTTTTGTAGAGTAATTGGCTATGGTTAAATGTAATTGGTGGAAATGTTGAACCAACAGAACTGATAAAATTTGCAATAAACCATAAAAAAAGAAAGAAAAGAGCAGGGCAAAAATAACACTGTTCACTGAATTTTTATTAGTTGCTAGTAGTGTATATTCTTTTTAATCTTATAATTCAGAACAAAAATCGTTTAATTTTTTTATCAACACTTGCAATGCTAACTAACTATAAAACTAACTTATATACAGTGTGACAGAAATACTTCCCACATAATAGTAAGACATTAGTGGCAATGTTGTCTTCATCTAGCTAATGTCTTATGTGGGAGGTATTTCTGCTGCACCCTGTTTAGTTTTCAATGGTAAGTTTGCTTTCGTTTGTTCTTTAATGCAGCAGCAGCCACCATTGCCCATAAGTTTGTTACCTCACTTTGGTATTTTTTACTACATAATAAAGTCAGTTTATGAACCATTAACAAACTTTTACAAAACAATTTTGGCATGTTTTGAATATTTACTATATATTTGCTGGAAAATCTTTTCCATGTGAAAGTGGGCAATGACACTAAAAATGTTGGGAACCCCTGGTTTAATGCATCTTTACTAAAAATTAGTCACATAAATTTACATTCCAACACAAGAAACTGGCTTTACGATAATACTGAATAGAAATTAGAAATAAATGCCAAAGTTTTATGCTGATAGAACCTTCACAGTTGATATGGGGAAACATTAATGGCTGAAACTGATTATTTTGGCCCTTGGTTTTTTTCCTAAAATATTAAAATTTACACTTTTTGGTAAACTCCTATACAGATGCCTTTACTTACACTATTTACATTGTTCGGACTGTTGTCCTCATCTTTGTTGCCATATTCACAACATTTTGGCCATTGTAAGCCTCGGCTTTCTTCAGATGATTTGAATTTCAAACTGAACCCTTTATTTTGTCCAGCGGGATAGATTTTTCTAGTTCCATGTGTTGTGCCTCTTCTGGATGTCCTAGTATCAGTTATCTCCCAAGTTTTTGTTCACCTCTGATGTAACCAGGTTGAGTTCAGTGACTTGACCCAAAGAGTTACGAGTTCAATACCTGGCTACAGCAGAGGTATTGAACTCACATTTCTTTGAGTCAAGTCACTGGATTCAACCAATGCTTTTATACACTGGGCCATGTGTCCTTGAGGTCATCAGTCTATGAATGTTTGGAACTTTATATCATTTTTTACCAGAGCTAATATTACAATTTTGTTGTTGTTTTTCTATAGCAATCTGTTACTGGTTCCCATATTCATTTCTACGCTTGGTTAGCTTAGGAGATTCTTTGTGGCCTAGCATATGCACCGATTCCTTATGTTTTCGTATTTTCCAGTGATTTTCTCTGTCTATTATTTCAGCCTCATGCCCACAACAGTCCGAACAATGCAAATAATTCCAATACCTCATCTTATAAATATAAATAAATGCCTTTACAAACTTTTCTGTAGGGCTCTTCATCTATCTTTTTTTTTTTATCTCATTCCAGAGGAGATAATGTGCTCACTTTTCCTCCCCACATATCATTTCCATGCATAATGTCATTGAGAAAACTTAGTTTTATGATTTTATCAAATGGTGATGAAAGTACAAAAGTGAATTGTAAAGATATCAATGCAACATACATTGCATAAAGACCAAAGAACTCATTGGTTGAAATGTATTTAAAAAGAGGGGGGAGTGTTTGGGTAAAAAATTTGTGGAATAATTTTAAGATAATTTCCTTTTTTGTAATTTTCAGCATTTCATGATATAAAACTTTTTGTCATTTTGTTTGATGAATTTTTTCATTTTTTTTTTTTTTTTTTTTTTTTTCCTCACCTAGTTTTCTCTTCCATCTGACAAAGATAAGAAAACTCACCCAGAGTTAGAAATAGACGAAAAAGATGTGACTGAAGAGACCTCACATGACTGCTGGATGATTGAAAACATGTATGCTTTTGAAAACATTGGATTTTCTAACACTGTTGGGACAATAAAATACCTTGTTTGTGCTGATTGTGAATCTGGACCAGTCGGTTGGCATGACCTTAGCAATGGAGGCAAAGCTTGTTTCTTATCTTGGGACCGTGTGCGGCATTCAGATTCTAACTAACCAATTGGTTGGTTAGTTTGTTAGACTGTTATGATTGATGAAGGTAACAAGGAAAAAAAAAAAGGAATTTTAATTCTAATTGTTTTTTTTAAATGTCTGCTGTCTGTTTTCATGCCATTCTCAAGATTTTTTTCTTAGCAAATACATCGTTTAAGTCCTGCTGTAGACATTGTATTCGTCTTCAGGAAATCAAAAGAAGAAAGTCTGAACAAATTGAAGCAGTGTCTAAATTCATTATTGCTTGTGGCGAGAAGTGGTGAAAGATTGTTGTTTGGTTTAATTTCATGTTGCCTGAAATGACTATAAAGCATTTGGACATCTTGAATAGCTTGTTGAGGTTGTAAAATACAAATATAAAAACAATATGAAGTCATGATTTTTTTTTTCCTTTTGTCTTTTTTATTTATTTTTTGTTTTATTGCAAATTGATTGGAAAGTGAAATTGGAAAAATTTCTTTTCATTGTGATGAATAGTTATGTGTAATCAAATGTGTGTTTAATGCTATCATAATTTATTTTGTAAATACCATATTTGATGTGTTAGAATACTTAACCCTCCAAGAAATGGATTAGAAAATATATCTCCTGGCTGACTATGTGAAGATGAAACTTTCAATATTTATCCCTTTGTACTTCTCTCTAGCATTGGTTGGTAATCTATCAAGGAATGGAGTTTGTAAGGTAGGTTTGTTTGTTGGTTAGGCCAAGGATTGTTCCTTGGTGTTGGTACTGTGTAACTCTATACAACCTGTCACATGTTATTTATGAAGATTGGCTCTAAGAGATACCATAAAGGGGACTTATTTGGCATAACACTGATCTATTTTGATTGAAGTACTAATATTTCTCAATTATACTCTGCTATAATAATCCTCCTGTTTTTTTTTTTTTTTTTTTTTTTTTTTTTACAGGGAGGGTCAAATTTACAGTTAATTTTATTAAGATAAATCAGAAAAAAAACTCTTTAAAAGAAAAAATTTTTTTGTTTGATTTAGAATGCACCCACCACTAAAAAATGGAATGGCAAGTGTAAAATTCTTCATTCTCCATTTGCTCAAACAGAAAGTTGTTTTCATCCCACCTCCATAAAAATATTTTAACAACTGCAAATCTGATTTAAATATATTCTTAAAATCTTGAAGGAATGCAGGAATGTCCTAAACAAATATGATACTCCCCTCCCCAAATGCAATGCTCTGTCCACCATGGGTAAGATCTGTCCCAAGATCGTTGAAACTGTGGATAGTGTTGTGTGTTTTTTTTTTTCCTATACAAACATAATAATTTAATTTATAAAGTAGACACATCTCTTATGTATCTAATTTATAAATTATCATAGGTATGCTTGTATTGGAAAACACATACAACAGCTGAAACAATAACTAATAATAGAACAATTATAATGTACTATAATAAAAGCATTCAGATGAATAGAATATTTATTCTTAGCAACCATGGCATTATTTTCTTTTCTTTTAAGTTAATAACTCTCGTCTTATCACTGAAAGGAATTCCTTTATAGCTTCTTTTTGGCATATCTGAATGGCCAACGTCATGACTTACTTTAATACATTGGGATTTTTATTAAGTAAAAGTTATGGATTGTTTATTTCTGGGGGGGAGAGGGTTGACCATGGATAACTGAAGTCACAAATAAGGAGGAACTCTTAAACATTACAAGAACAAAAACATCTTTCAAAAGTGTTCAATTGTCAAAAAAAAATCTCTCTGAATTGATATTTGATATAAATTCAAGGTAATTGTATTTATATCAGTTTATGCTACATGTGCTAGTGCTACAATATAACCCAGTACTACCTGCTGCATACTCAGGTCGTCTGCTTATCTAGTGAGGAGAGTAGCTAGACACCCAGCTGGATTAAAAGTAAGACCTAATAAAGAGCAGATGAACCTCCATGTAGAATCAGTGGCCATCTTGTACAATTGGGCATTGGCACTGTTGATAGGTATGCAGAATCTCTGGGTGGAGGACTTTCTAGACTGAATTCAATGGCCAGGGCAAAAGGTTCCTCTGATAGAATCAATGGCTATTAATTTGACCAAAATAAGTCTTCAAGTTGAAGGACATCGTCTGTGGTTTGACCTTGAGAAGGATGGGCTTTATCAGGTCTACCTGTCTAAGACATATTACACATAAATACTTCTCTGGCTTTCAACCCAGTATATAGAAGGAACTGCTCAGCTTCACAGCAACCCTATGACCACACCTGATGTTTGAACTGATGATGATGGTGAATTGTAACAAATATGAGCATCTGGTTTACTGACACCAGAGAATTGAAATACAAATAAAATCATAACAAGAATAACAACTTTATTGCTGGTCAGTCTATGTAATGGGTACAAACTGACATCAAAATGTCAAACCAGACTTAATTAAACTGGAGTTAACATTTAGCACTCTGCATTATTAATATTACTTCCCTTTCCACTGCATTCTTTTTCAAGGCCTCTCAATAGCAGTGTCCTTAATGTTAATTTCATCCAGTGTTGTTTTCTGTTGCCATAGCAGGATATGACAACACAACTATGAAATTCAAACAAATTCAAGTTCTGGGATCAGTCATTTTCAGTGGCTGGATAAACTTTTTGCACAGTAAATGAAGTTGGAATTAATCTGTTTTTTTGTTTTTTCCTGTTCTACTAAACTCTACCCAAAATTAATGACATGAAACAAATACAGTAATTCTCCTCTACGATTTCATAAATCAATGCTAACCGTTTGATATTGGTCCTAAAAATAGGGAGTTATCAGTACAACCGCCTCTCCTTATTTTATTGGTTATAACTCTGTGTGTGGATTGTAATTCCGAACATTGTAAGAAAAAATGTTATGGTGACTTTTGTGATAGCTAAAGTTGCTATGGAAATCCTAAACTGCCTTTTATGGGTCAAAACTTTATGAATCCAGATAAAACTTTATTTATTACCTTTTTTTATTGTAGAAAAACTTTGTTAGAAACAAAGAAAAGAATACTGTACTGTTATGCAATATCAGGCCTCTTATATGGCAGTGGCGGATAATCTCTTGTTTTTCAAAAACAGTTTGTGGTACCTACATTATACTGAGTAGTTTGAATGCTAAAGATAGCCATCTTGCTTTTTAAGATTCTATTTTATGCCTAAACATACTAATTGATTAAATTTAAAAAAGAAAAAAAAGATGTCTTCTCACTGGACTTATTCAATCTTTACAGTGAGGTGATTCTGAGAGAATTAGTACTACTATGATTTCATTATTGGCAGCCACAATCTTAACAATATAAGATATGCAGATGACAGTGTTGATAGCAGACTGAAAGGAAACTACAAGAACTCCTACAGAAGATAGTGAAGTAAAGCATGAAGAAAGGACTAAACATTAATTGCAAGAATGCATGGTTGTTAGCAAATGGAACAGCCCAAAATGCAAATTAAAAATTGTAGACCTTGAAATCAAACGAGTATACCAATTTTAATATCTAAGAAATAACTGAAATCTGTTAGTGAAAGCAAAGCAAAGTATTAAGAAATAGGAAAAGAATACTGAACTGTTGTGTAATATCAGTCCTATATGGCAGTGAATGTTGGACAATCTCCTCACATGTAAAGAAGTGACTTGAAGCAACAGAAATGTGGTTTTACAGAAAGATGCTGAGCATACCATGGACTGAACATGTGAGCGGACAACAAAGTTTTAGAGAAAATGGAAACAAAAAGGATGACTATACTTAGCATCAGGAAGAAATACTCGAGATTCCTGGCATAAGGAAAGAGGGCTTAGAAAATTTGATACTCACGGAACATATTGAAGGCAAGAGGAACAGAAGAGAACATATAACCTACCTCGTGAGCTTGAGTAAATGGATAGTGGAACAAGATTCAGGAGTGTTATAACCTCGAGGTTGCTGAATAAGAATAACCAAAATGAAGGTTGAAAATGGAACGGTAATATTTATAACAGGAACACACCGCTTGCAAATCTTGTAAGTAATCAACTGCTAGTGGTGAGCTAGAAGTGAATCAAGGTGAAATCCAAGTGGAAGACAACATACAATATATACCACTCTATTTATAGGAATTGGGACATACCTATTATAGTCGATAGGTACAGTATAACAACGAGAAACAACAAAAAGACAATTTATTAAGAGCTACAAAGGACAGGAAATTGTGGTGAGCCTGGTTGCTTATATCCTGAAGGGACACGGGACATAGAAGAAGAAATAGTTTCTGTCTAAGCTTTAAAGAAATATAAAGCAAATTGAAAGCCATGTTGATAAATTTTAATAAGAATTACAAATTTCTTTTCTAGATTTAACTTTGTTTTGAATGTGGTGGTGGTGGTAATATTCGCCATTTCCCTACAAGGAAGCATTTGGTATTGATCGAGCAGCAAGTGCTGCTTTTAGTTGAAGTTTACAAAATCTTTCTCTTAAAACAAATTTCTCAAGTCCAGTATCTGTTATTGCTCTTTCCAGTATTGATGGGGATTTTCTTCCTACCCTTCTATTTGAAGTCATGTGGAATGTTAACATCTTGATTGTAATTATTTTCTCTCTGAGTTACATGTGCTATCCATTTTAGTTGTTGCTGCAGTTGTCCGTCTCAATTGATATGGTTTCTCTTATTTGGTACTTTTCTTTGAGATTCCGTAGTGCCAATCCACAATGTTCAAAAAACTACAGTAATGTGATGTTTTTCAGTTTGATTTTTCTCTATAGAAATTAACTGTCATGTTTTATTAAAATTCACCAATGTGTGTTTTTTTATTGAATATAATGGACAGTGAATGTTTAAGCTTTTTGGTGAGTGTCTCTTGATGTTAAAATCATTTGATATCAGATGGAAACTTGTAGAGGGACTTGTTAATATTTAACTTTTGACCTTCATTGGTCATTTTTAAGGATTCAAAACCAAGAGAAATGCACAAAAAGGCTTGGCTGTCTGTTATATTCAATGAACAATGTTTAAATTAAAGTGATTACCCAGACTTGTGG